TCGGAAAAGGAGGAGTCAAGTATGTTGTGGTTGTGGTTGCGGTAGATTATTTCACAAAATGGGTGGAAGCTGAACCACTAGCCGCGATCACGACCAGAAAGCTGAAAGACTTCGTTTTCAAGAACATAGTATGCTGCTACGGAATTCCTCACACCCTCATTTCGGATAATGGAAAGCAATTCGACAACGAGGAGTTCAAGCACTTCTGCGACGAACTGGGCATTCATAAAAAATTTGCCTCAATCCAGACCGCAAGCAAATGGCCAAGTTGAAGCTGTCAACAAGACCATCAAGCACACTCTGAAGGCCAAACTTAGGGCAGCCAAGGGAAATTGGGCCGACGATCTCCCCGAAGTCTTGTGGGCATACAGGACAACTCCAAGAACCTCCACCTCAGAGACGCCCTTTTCGCTAGCCTATGGCTATGAAGCAATGATTCATGTGGAGGTGGGAACTGGTTCTCTTCGGAGAGACTTGTACGATGAGGTTGAAAACGAAGCACTTATGAGGGCAAGTCTGGATCTTGTTGAAGAGCACCGCAGCAAGGCTTCGCTAAGGATAGCAACCTACTAGCAACGTGCGAAGAGGTTCTTCGATTCAAAGGTCAAGCGAAGAGACTTCCAGGTCAGAGACCTTGTGCTAAAAGAAGTTCTCCTTGGAACCAGGGAGCCAAGTGCGGGGGCATTAGGACCTAACTGGGAAGGTCCGTACCGGGTCGACAAGGTGATCAGACTGAGGACTTACTATCTCAAAAGGTTGAACGGTTCCAAAGTACCCCGAGCTTGGAATGCCAAGCACCTCCGGCCATACTATCAGTAATCCCAAACTCAGCTCTCATTATAAATTAGTTTTTGATTTTGTTAGTTCCCTTTTTGTTGTAAAGTATTATTCTGTTCGCTGGAAACAGTTTGCATTTATTCTTTTCACTTGTAACAATTCGCATGTAATATTGCCTATGTAAAACAAACTGAATTGTAAACTGTACAAATATATGATTAATCGAACAGAAATTGAAATCAAAATGTATTTCATGTACAAAAGTTAAGACCCTATTAATTCCTATGGAGTCGGTCTCATCGCATTATGTCTGGTCGGTGGGGGGATCCTTCGAAGCAAGACCCGAACCCTCTACCTGGTCAGATCCTCGGGCAGCCGCTGCTACTTGATCATCTTCCTTCGCCAAGATCCGCAAGGTCTCTTGCCACCCTTCTGGGAGGTCAGAAATATCCAAATCTGGATTCTTTGGTTGCAGGGTATAAATGGACCCGATCGCCCAGTCGGCGGCCTTATCCTTGATCTCCTCTGACTGGATCCGCATTTCTTCAGTTAAGGACAATTTTTCCCCGACTCTCCTAGAGTTCGGCCTCAAGAGTTAGCCTTTCTTTTTCGGAGGCCTCCCTTTCTTGTTTTGCTCGCTGAGCCCGTATGAAGGTCGTCTGGAGCTCCTGGCCCTTCTTTCCGACCTCCTTAGAGAGCCTAACGATTGTCCTCTGAAGCTCTTTTACTTCCTCTGCACGTCGTTTAAGCTCCGCCTTTTAGAAGTCAACTGTCTGCATAGCGGCCTCCTTTTGGTTCAAGTACCTGTTCGCCGCCTCAAATGCTTGCGTTCTTTCCGCTTCGATGGTCTCCAGGCTGTGTTTGAGCTTCGCGACCTCCTCTTTCAGATCATTTGCCCCCTTCGCGGCCCCCAGTCGAGCCTTCTCCATGGACATCCTCATAGAAAGCAAAGCCTGCGAGCAAGAAGTGAATTAGAATGAAAATGGCGGACAAACTTTAAGAACAGTTCGTTTACCTTGCTTAGATGCTGGATCGATGTGGTCATCAGGTCATCACCCATATCGACGAACTCATCATATGACTCCGATAGCTCACACTCAAGCAGAGAATAGACTATCAGCTGTAGGTGTTCGGGCAGGTTCCCCAACAAGTCTAGCACTGGTGTGCCATTCGCCTTGTCGGCAGCAATCGTCTTGTCTGCGGGTTCCTTGCCCGACCTCCTTCTTAAGTCCTACCGCGACCTTAAGGGTTCTTCCTCAGATTCGGTCTCTAACTCGTTGACCTGAATCTGCTTCCTCTTCTTCGACCGCTGGGCCGGAGCCTTCCACCTCGGGCGAGCAGGTGGTGGCTGAGCGACCTGTTCTGTCCTAGTCGTTTCTTGCTCAAGAAGGGACTGGGAAGGCACGGCTGTTCGCACCGATTGTGCCGTTATGGGGTGAGCAGCTTCGGCCGCCCTTTCTTTCCTCGATCGAGGGAAGATGAACAGTGCTCGTCGGGGTTGCTCGGACTCTTTCGGAGGCATGGTCGCTCATGCGAGTACATTAGTAACTAAACAAAAATTATTCTACGACCAGGAGGGAATCAGTGTAACTTACCTTCTGGGGACTCCAAAGACGCGTTGTTACTAAAAAAACGGTACTTCTGCAAGTTCGCGGTCGTCACGAGCCTCCTCGGGAAGGACTCCAAAAGACACGAGCCTGTCCGGGTCGGTGAACAGGTCTTGGCTGGTCGTCTTGTTAACTGCAAAAGAATGCAGGCGTTATAATAAAGGAAGCGAACAGCCAATGAACCTAGCGAAGAAGAACCTACTTGGTTTTTGAAAGCGGCAGTAGCTGTCGTAGCAAAAAGAGAAGAACTTCGTCTCATAAGCCCCCACGTTGCTGGGATAGCTATGTATCCCTTCGGCGATGGTAGGTCACCGGGACAAGTAATAGGAGTCCTTGTCCTTACTCTTTTTTAGAAAATAGGCGACGCCAAGCTCCACTGCCGTTAGCTCACCCAAGCCACTCTCGCGGCACGTGATGTACATAGCAACGGCGATGACATACGCGTTTGGCGTTAACTGTATTGGTGCGATCCCGAAGTGATCCAGGACCGACCTAATGAAAGGGTGGAAAGGAATCATCCCTCCACCCTTGAAGATCTCTTCAAAGATCGCAGCTAGGCCATCGGAAGGATGCCGCGACGACCGGGTGGCGTCGAGGAACACCTTTGCGCGGACGTCGAACTGTCTTTTTATCCTCTCAAACTCTTCTCAGGTGAGAACCGAGAAGACATCAAGGGATGCGTCCACGGGAACGTCCTGCAAAGATGAACCAGCTCATTCCTCGGGTCTGGATGTTGAAGGTTCCATTCCACAGTCTACAGCACTGACACACAGAAGGTCATTTTAGCCATCGCACGTTGCCCGCACGGCGGCATGGAACAAATTCCCTAAACCCTAACAGTAACTCGAGCCGCCATCCACGACTCGAACCCGATGCCAGCGTCGTGTGTCTGATGAAACACCAGGAGACCCAATGCCATTGCACCCCCAAAATAAAGAAAGAAAAAGACCTTACCTTCTGGGGCGTGTGACCGAGGACGGTTCTTGTTTCAGATATCGGAAAGATGCCAATTGGAAGAGAAGAACTTTCGGTTTGCAAAGATTTTTCGCTTGAGGCAAAAGGGATTCTGGTGGCATCATCTGAAAAATTTGGGCTTTTATATGGACTACGAACCAGCATTTACCGCCTCTCAGAATCAAAACGACGTTTTTCTCTCTCTCCGCATTAAATGCGCCCCATGCCACATTTATTGCTGTGAAGAGGGTTTGTCGTTTCGAGTGTGTCGTGCAATTAATGCTCTATCAAAACAACGTCGAGTCAACACATAACGCATTTAATGCGCCTGCCAGACGCTTTAACACTTGCAGAGCGTCTGACCGCGCAGAAACAGGCTCATTGAATCTCCAACCCTAAGGCACGGTAAGAAACGCCCGATGAATCCAGGTCGCTAGGATGATGATTGTCAGGTCGTTTGGGCAAAGTATGTGTGAGGTCGTGTTCGTAAAAGACCCTATCCCGAGCTTCTTCCATTCAGGTTGAAATTATCAGAACCTCCAATCGCGGCATGACTTAGTTTCCAAGGTTCGATTCTCAAACCTTAAAAACTAGGGGACTTCTGTTATGCCTGGGAAATCAAGGGCTGACGTGGGAAATCACGTGATGAAGTGTGACCTGCTCCCGTCAGAACGGTAAGTGCACATCAGACCTGCAAGACGCTGTGGAGCTCCCACGTGTCCACTCCTTTCTCCAAATCGCGTGAAATCAGCTTGGAAGGAGGGTAATGTGACATAAAGTCGGATTTAGTCCTGACATTCACACCAACCCATGGATTTAATGATGATTACTTGCATTCATCTCGCTATAAGAAGAGGAAGACCCCTTCATTAAGGGGATTCGGCTATTTTTGCACTGGGAACTAACTCTCTCTCTCTCTCTTGCAAACTTTGTATTTATTTTTTCCTAATCATTTGTAAGTCAGTCCGCTGTTGCGACTTGACTCACAATACTAATACAAATCAGTAGACGTAGGACTTGCTACCTTAGCATCTGAACCACTTTAAAAAGCTCTCATTGCATTTATTCTACATTCTATCCATAATCACGTGTGTCTCTTGACCAATCAACGTTACGCTCGTGTCGATTAGTTGGTGTTAAAATCACGCATCAACAAACATATTCCATTTTCTCCCTCTTCCGATCGAAATTCTATGAAGGGGAACCCATCAAACATGAGGATGAGGAGAGGTTAAATGAAATAGGCTATGATGATGTCGGCGGTGTTAGGAAGCAAATGGCTCAAATTCGTGAGCCTGCAGAACTTCCTCTCAGACACCCTCAGCTCTTCAAATCAATTGGTGTGAAACCCCCAAAGGGAATCTTGCTTTACGGGCCACCTGGGTCTGGAAAAACCTTGATTGCAAGAGCTATTGCTAATGAGACAGGTGTTTTCTTCTTTTTGATTAATGGACCTGAAATAATGTCAAAGTTGGCTGGTGAGAGTGAAAGCAACTTGAGGAAGGCATTTGAAGAAGGAGAAAAGAATGCCCCATCAATCATATTTATTGATGAATTAGATTCCATAGCTCCAAAGAGGGAAAAGACACATGGTGAAGTGGAGAGGCGTATAGTGTCCCAGCTTCTAACTCTAATGGATAGCCTTAAGTCCTGGGCTCATGTGATTGTTATGGGAGCCACAAATAGGCCAAATAGCATTGATCCTGCTTTGAGGAGATTTGGGAGATTTGATCGAGAGATTGACATAGGTGTTCCTGATGAAGTTGGAAGATTGGAAGTTCTCCGAATCCACACAAGAAACATGAAGCTTGCTGAAGATGTAGGACTCTTATCTGCTTCATCTCATTGTCTTTTATAAATCATTTTATGTCTTTTTTCTTTAGTATAGTGACATTCTTATTTGATGGCATGTTTTAGGTTGATCTTGAAAGAGTTGCAAGAGATACGCATGGTTATGTGGGAGCAGATCTTGCTGCTCTTTGTACTAAAGCGACCCTTCAGTGTATCCGGGAGAAAATGGATGTCATTGACTTAAAGGACGAGACAAGTGATGCTGAGGTGTTGAATTCAATGGCTGTAACTAACGAACCCTTCCTAACTGCATTGGCAATCTCAAACCCATTAGCCTTGCGTGAAACTGTAAGTTTTTCGTTTATTTTAAAAAACGTAAGTAATGGACGGGCGTCTATTCCTTACAGACGCCCGTCCTATCCAAAGTTTTTCTTTAATTTTTTAGAAACCAAAATAATGGACGGGAGTCCATTCCTAATGGACGCCCGTCCAAATGTTTTTTTTTTTTTTTTTTTTAAAGTACAGACGGGCGTCCATTCGTAATGGACGCTAGTCCAAACATAAGGGACGAATGGACATCCGTCCAAACGAAAGGGACGACCATCCAAAATTAATGGATGGCCTTCCCCAAAGTTTTTTTTTTTTATTTTTTTTATTTTCATATTTTGGTTAAGGACGGTTGTCCAAAATTTATGAACGGCCGTCCCTAATTTTTATAAAAAAAATTTATTCCATTTTATTTATGAAGCGCCCTTTAAATGGGGACTCCCGTCCGTAGTAAATGGACCCCCGTCCATATTTGATGGACAACCGTTCACTAAAAAAATAATTATAGAAAAATCAGGCGTGGTGTGAATCAGGGGTACACGTAGGCCGGTACACATTTTCGGTGCAAAATTTTTTACGTCCGTAGCTTTGTTGTTATATAAATGGGAGAACGACATATTCCCACCCAAGGTTTGGCGAAACAACATTTTTTAACCCTTCGTTAGATTCTATTATATTTTCCGTTAATATTTTACTGAAAATATAAAAATACCCTTAAATATTTGACTTTATAAATTTTTATTATTTTTTAACTAGCCAAAAAGTCAAATATTAAAAAAGCAAAAAAACAAAAATAGTTAATCCCACCTAACAAGTGAGGAATAATGCTATGAAATTGTTTAAAGTTAAATGACCTTAATATTTATTTATTTATAATGTCATCAATATCCCATCACTAATATTCAATAATCTACTAAATTTATAATTTTTTTCATTTTTACTAATTAACCTATAAAATCAATATTCCTAATTAATTAAATAAATAAAAGAAATAATGTATCTTTACACTTGAACTAATAAATAATCAAGTAAAGACTTTGACTTAACAAAATTTTAATTTATAATAAATTAATTAAAAAATAAACTATTTAAGGGTATTTTCATCTTTTCAGTCAAATATTAACAGAAAACATTAACAGAACCTGATGAAGGATAAGAAAGTGTCATTTTGAAACTTGACGGATGGAAAAGTGTCGTTTCACCAAACCTTGGGTGGGAAAATGTCGTTCTCCCTATATGAATTATCTTTATTTAGCTAAATCTAAAACAAAATTACATTTTAAGAAAATACATAAAAAAAAAAATTAATATTCTGATTTTTGTGTGTAACTTTGATATATAATCATATATTTTAGATTATAAAAATAGATGACAATGGGTAAGATGGACTTGTTGGCTATTTTACATCTAGTAGGCCTATAGCATTGTATTGATGGGCCTAGCCCAAACATCAAGCCTTTTGGCATACGTATAAAATTCTCAGCCCGTAGAAGAAGCTCGCAGTCTCGCACACACATAAATGTACCAACTATACTTAGGTGAACGCACAGTAACAAATACTTAGAAAGACAGAATTTTACATTTTTTGGTTTAAAAAAAAAAAAAAATTGACCAATATTTTAATTTTATTTTTAACTTGCAAGTAAACGAGATTTGTTCCAAAAATTTTGTATTTTTACATAGATCCTAAAAGTTTTTAAAATAATGTTATTTAACTTTGCATTCTTCTCCATATTGGCCCATTAAGAATATATCCTTATTGTATATGTGATCAGGTTAAAGACTTGTCCTAGAGATAAATACACCGAAGTTCGAGCACAATCAGCATGGTTTGAGGAATTAGAGTCGAAAGATGAATACACCAAAGTAGGACTGGAAGTCGTCCTCATTGAAGAATAACTTTAAAAATCTGAGTTCCTCTTTGTGTTGTGTAATGTTTTCCCGGCCAAGGGGCTAATTCTTGGGTTGAGTTGTTCAACTGGTGTGGCCGACGAGTAGGACTGGTGACATCATCATATCCAGCAGGTTTGAAATCTAGCAAACACACCCTTGAGAAATTAAGAATCAATTCTTGGAGGTTTGTAATCCAACAAACACACCTCTTCGATTTGGCCATATGCAACTCATATGGGTTTTTTTTTTTTTTTTTTTTTTTTTTTTTTTTTTTTTTTTTTTTTTTTATCTTTGATCTACAAATTTTCCACCATTCATTTCAGCTATTCCCTTTCAATTCCCACAAACTAACCCTTACCAACAAAACCCACAACACAAACATATCTAGGCGACGGTCGAGCAGTAGGAGGTGTCGACAACTCAAAAACACATTAACTATAAGAGCAGGGTTGGGACGTTGGGCTCAGGCAAGGAGGGTGTATGCCAATTATTGCACGCGGTTGGCATCACGCGACACTGCCTATTGTCGCGCAATTGTGCGATAGGGGTGCCTTATTGGTGTCTTTAGGCAAGCGGTGCTGCATTGTGAGCGACCACTGTAGCGCATTGAGCGCGAGATCATGCAAAAGGCGCAAGTGGCCAATAGCAGCACCCCCCATTCAACCAATTGAGAAAGATTTAAGGAGTTTAATTATCACCTGACTTTGGCCCTGGGCTGGTTGGACTGGCGGTTCGTTACTATTCCATTGGTCCAACTGTGGGTCACTCTAGGTTAATTGACATAGCCAGGTTTATTGATGGTCCAGCTTGACAAAGGCCCTGGTTCACAATCCAATCGGTTGGGTTGGATTGGGTTTTAAAACAATGTTTGTCACAACTGTATCCTATTACTTTTTGAACTGAAATAGAGAAATAAAACAGGGGAATGGAGCATAATTCCAACAAATGTTTCTAAGATATTTGTCTCATGACAAAAGTAAGACTCAAAATACATATTAGTTTATCCAAAACTAAAATGCAACAATCCAACTATGACATATACTTCACTAACATCTTGAAGTCTATGAAACAAGCATGTCCTTCATCATAAGGGCTTACAACTGTTAATTGATGCAAAACCAAATTCATATATGTCAATCATGCTCTAGATGGATATACAGTAAAACCTCTTTATAGTCATAATGGTGGGACTAACTAATTTTATTACTATAAGAAAGTTATAACTTAATGGAGTTGTAGTTACAAAAATTATTGTTTGGATTTCTTATTTTATAATTCATGTTTTAGTAGTACAGTATTAGGATTTCAATTCATATTTTAGTAGTATTAGGATTTCAATTCAACGCTTCAATTACCTACTTTTGAAATGGATAGAAGATCATGTCTTGAAACCAGCAAAGATAAATGTTATTGATGGAACTGTAAATGCAGTTGATGCATGGTTAATTGATGTAAAGCCACAGACAATTGTCAATGGTTTTAAGTACTGCAAAATTAATTGCAAGTTACAAATGAAGTGGATGAGGAGAATAAAAGAGTCATTGCAAAATTAAGTGATCAGATTCGACTGTAAGTAATTAATCTACTATACGCAGCGGAAAACAAAAATTCAATCGGTAAATCAACTACCTTTCTTTGCCTAGATCCGAGTATAGATTATACCGTTTACATATTTATAAACAAAAATTTGTATAAAGTAAATTCATTCAAGGATTAGAATACTTACGTACGTTTGGAAGCTCCTTCAAATATCTCTGATTTCAAATAGGAACACTGTTTATGGTTACTGTTCACATCTATTTTTCACCATTTACTATTCACCATTACTGTTCATGGTACTATTCACCATTTACTGTCACGGTCACTGTTCATCATCTATTATTCACGGTTATTGTTTATCATCTACTGTTCATGTGATTTTTCGCCAATCGATCCAAAGTAGGATCACACTCACAGAAGTCCACAAGAAGATAATCCGCAGAACCCTTGATTATTTTGCTAGAACAATCAAAGGTTTCAAGAATCAAGAAAGAAGAACAAGAAAAGTTTTCTTCCTGAGAGAGAGAGAGATAGGGTGGCAAGGGTTTTAATTGAATAAATAATTCCATTATGCTTTAATTTTAAGTTGCACTTATATAGTGCAACAATTAAAACTCTATTCTACTTAGGAATACTCATGGGCTCCAACCCTAGTTCACCCTTGCAACCAAACAAACCGTTTATGATATTTTAATTAATTAATTATTATTATTATTAAAATCAATTAATATAATAATATATTAACATTCAATTAATAATAATAATTCATTTAAATATATACATAGATATATTTAAATATAATCTCACTAATTTAATTTTAATATTAAAATTAAATACAGACAACAACCTCAACAAATTTAATTGCACTGTGAGATTAACAAAATACCCTTTCATCTTAAAAGATGAAAATACCCTTCTCACAAATTGATTCTTAAATTATCTTCTAAGTGTGTGACCCGTAGGCTCCTTATCATATCGGCAGTGAGTAGTATCGCGATTAACACCAATTAACCGTCTGACTACACACAGACCAAGATTGGCCCCTAGCAAGGCATCATGGCCACCTGATAGATTCGGATTCAGCGAAACCGTAGCCTGTCAACGACATGGTTACTATGCAATCAAATCCTTTCATCAACTGTTATCTCATCGAGACTGAGGTATAGAAATAGTGTCAACCTCAGATATCCTCGACATGTTTGTATTCAGTTACTAGACCAATGACAGGAATATTAAATTGGATTGAGCATCAACTTAATCCCACTGTAG